TTTTTTTTTTTTTTACCTGCCATCAGCCCAATTCTTGGTGTGGAACACAGTTTGTTAGGGATTTGATATGTTCATCTAACATTTATATACATATATATTTTATTTACACAGAGACCAATTTAGAACTCTTTTTTTTTTTTTTTACCTGCCATCAGCCCAATTCTTGGTGTGGAACACAGTTTGTTAGGGATTTGATATGTTCATCTAACATTTATATACATATATATTTTATTTACACAGAGACCAATTTAGAACTCTTTTTTTTTTTTTTTACCTGCCACCAGCCCAATTCTTGGTGTGGAACACAGTTTGTTAGGGATTTGATATGTTCATCTAACATTTATATACATATATATTTTATTTACACAGAGACCAATTTAGAACTTCAATTTTGAAATTCATCACATGCCATCAGCCCAACTCTTGGTGTGGAAAACTGCTTGGTAGGGTTTCTTTATACACACCTAACCTTTGTCAAAATATTTTTTTAACCCTTTCACTGTGTAATTAGGTTTCACAGTCAGTTTCCAATGAATGTCATTTCTGGATTAAAAAAATCATAAATTAGCAGTTGATTTTGTTGTATTATGATATATGACACACACTGCATATCTTGATGTTATGGAATCAATAACTTACTTAAATTATGGTAAAAACACAGAGTAAATACGACAATAAGCTGATATCTCTATTTGTGGGTGCCTCGCACAATCTGTTGGTTGGAGTCCCAACTGAGGGATTGCATTTCTTGTTCATGCTTCCTGATGTTCTCACACAGTTGTCTGATGGTCGATTCAAGCTCGTGGACGGTTGTTGCCTTCCACTGTAGAGAGAAAAGTCTATATCTGCTGTCAGTTACAGTTAATCTTCCATTGCCTATAGTCACTTTCTGCAGTGAAAGGGTTAAATAGAAAGCTCATAAATTAGTTAAAAGTTAAGTAGAAATATTTCTTAATATCTGCTCCGGCATCTTCTTTACTATTAAATATTTGTAGGACAAGTACATTTCTCATTACTTAAGGAACTTTCCACATGATGCAAGTGATTCTAGAACATTTTTTTTTCAGTTTGATTAGGTAGCAGTGCACTGAAAGAGCTGAAATCATTGAAATATAAAAATCTTCCTGTAGTTAATTGTAAAGTTGGAGATAAATATTTTAAAATCAAGATCCAGTAACGAGTGAGGGTATCCTAATTGTTGCAGAACTATATAAAGTCATCCTATGTGTCCAATGAAATAATTGTTATTTAAGCAGTATTCTGTGAGGTTGATAAGGTGATCTGTTACAGGATCGTCTTCTAGTTTTTAATTTAGACGGTGTAAAGCTTGTTCAACAGGTATGGAGGTAAATAAAGATTTCATGTTGAAAGATACTAATATATCTTCTTGGTTTAGTTTAAAGTTTCTGATTCTATTTACAAAATCTAGTGTGTTTTTGAGAGAATACTGGTTGGTTTGAAGTACATAGTTTAATCTCATAACTAATAATTTAGCAATGTTTTGTAACAGTGAGTCTATGCTACATACTATAGAGCTGTAAGGAATATTGTATTTGTGAATTTTTGGAAGTGCATAAAAAGTGGGGGGGGGGGTAATAATGTACGGGAATAAGGGAAATCTTGTCTTTAGAAGTGAGAATAGGGTACAATTTTCCTTATTTCTATACTCTGGTACTATAGTGGATAGTATTATCGGAAATGTGGGTTGTAATTAATTCATGTCTCATGGTCTAAGGTTAATCATTTCCATCATATGAAATTAACTAATATAAAATTCAGTCCTTATGTTGACTGCACTTTATGACAGTACAAAGTTCTTGGGCAGTTTTATGCTACCCCATTTGTAGCATTCTGTGTTATCACTTGTATTACTAGCTGAGGGTTTGAATGGTATGATGGGAGATTTAGAAGATCAAGAAAGTTAGTCAAACAGGAAATTAGGACATCAAAAAGGATTGCTGAAAATGTAAAAAAATTAACAGTAAAGATTTCTTTAAATACATTAGGATGGGGATAGGACCACTGAGGGATGATAAAGGAAAGCTTGTATCAGATGATTATGAGATGGCTGGGTTATTAAATTCAGCTTTTACTAATGAAGATTTAAGCAGTATTCCTTACCTTGAACAGTTGATAGATGGAAACAAGATCAAACACAATTATCAGATTAATTCTGAGCTTGCTAAGAAGAAATTGAGAAGTTTAAAGAACGATAGGGCTCCTGTTTCCCCAAAGGTTTTCGAAGGAGGTTAAGGATTAAATTTGCGAGTCACTTGCTACTATTTTTTGTAATTCCTTGAATAGTGGGCATTTGCCAGAGGATTGGAAGTTAGCTAATGTAACTTTTCTTTTCAAAGGAGGTGATGAAAATTGTCCCAGTAATTATAGGCCTACTAGTCTGACGTCAGTTTTGGGAAAAGTTATGGAAAGTCTGAATAAAATGCTTTGCAAAGTCATTTAACAAAGTTTAGAATTTTATTGGATAGTCAACATGGTTTCACCAAGAAAATCTTGCCTTACAATAGTTTGATATTATTTGTAAAGGTCACTACTTACGTAGATAAGGGTAAGGGTGTAGATTTGGTGTATCTGGATTTTCAGAAAGCAATTGACAAGGTGCCACATAAAAGTCTTGTAAAAAAATTATCTCTATAGGTGTGGGGGATAAGTTAGCAAATTGGATTGAAGCAGGAACGTCGAGGGCCAGCACGGGGCCTGGGGCAAACATCCTTTTTGTCTTTCTTTTTTAACATTTTCAAGAATTTATTAAAAAGAAGATCCTAAATTTGGACAGCTCATAAACCAGACAAAATCATAACAGCAGCCATTTTTACCTCACAGTATAAACGTAAAAATGTTAATAAAGTAACAACAAATATCTATTAAATCTATAAAGTAACAAATATATATTAATTATTACTCAAATTATTATTTCGGTCGTTCTATATGCAAAGAAAAGCCAAAAACTATGGCTTTTATCATTAAATGAAGATATAGCCTAAAGATGCATTGTGGGCTTTACGGCATAACCAGGTTTCATTCGCCCGGGCCCCTGGGCAGTTGACCCCTTTGGGATTATGCAACAGTATTAAGAACTTTGTCTTACAATGAGTGTAAATAAAGCCGAGATAGTTACTTGCTATGAAATGTCATTTTATTTTTCCCAATGAAACAATCAATGATACATAAAGCTCACACTCTTGTGAAAGAAAACTGAAATCTACCCTTTTGGCTTTCATGATGCTTCTAAGAATAAACCTGGAATTATTTGGATGTTTTTTTTTTCTTTCTTAAAAAGTTTCAGTATTAAAGAAAAGTTTTTTTAAACAACCTTCTTATCCCAATTTTCTCGGCTTAACAACTAATAAATTACATATAGAAGTGTCAACAAAACTAATAAACTGGAAGTTATAAACCTATGTCGAAACTCCTTTAGTCAATTTTTATTTTACACACATGGAGTATTAATATTAAAAATATTTTAAATTATGATACTTCATCTTGTCTATTGAGTTATTAGAAATGATGTAGGTTCTATAAAAATTTCATGATGCAAATAAAAAGGGCAAATGATGTTAATTAAAAAAAACTATATAAATGCAATATTTTTCTTTCAATGCCTTTTTCTGTGGCTACGTTTTCTGAAAGAAAGAAAAATTACAAAATGATTTTTTTTATGTGAAACCTACCATATACTAACATAAAATACAATAAAACTTGAAGAGTTCCAATTTCAGTGAATATCTTCACCACCACCACAAGAACTCTCATTAATTAGATAAACTAAAAAAAAATGTATGAAAATCCTCCCATGTTTTTTTTTTTCTTTTGTAACACTTAACAAAATTGTCCATTTAACAACAGTTTTGTAGAACCTTTATTGAGCCACAGCTGGACTGAAATAATAATAAAACATCAACTGAAGTCCATTTCTGGTTGGGATGATTAATCTAATTGAACTATCTTCAATTTTACAATTACACATACAGAACAAAAACAGCATTAATTGCCTCAAATGCTACAATCTCACACGATGATGAAAGGCAGAACGAAACGAGAGATTTAAGCCAACATCCAAAAACACAGATTTCATAGAAAATGCTATTTCATATTATGAGAGACAAAACAAAGGATATTGGTATCAATGATACAATCATACAGCCTAACAAACTATTTAAACAAGATAACAGCAATTAAAGCCAGAGTAAGTTCATTTTGTTTGTAAACTAGTAACCCAAAAGAGACCAGCTACAGCTATCTCAAATTTAGGTTATATGTTTAAATTTTGAAGGAAATTATTGACACAGTATCTTACCAAGCTTAAAGCAATGACATACAAAAAGTTCTAAACCTCTGATGGTGAAATAAAAAATCTTCTGTACATTTTAATTTATAAATGACATCAAACGGGGCATAATAAAAATTTCAGTTTGCAAACTGGGATCTCGTGAGAAATATGAACATTGGAAATGGAGACCTTTCTAGATCACATGAAGCTGCGTGATTGCTATTGACTTTACAGGTGGAGAAATACCTAAAAAAATAAGGAAACTGAATGGAACCGCACATTCTAAAGATTATGTAAAAAATTGAGTTGGATATCGTACTTACTAAACGTTAGACCCGAATGTGTTTTATGTAAAACTAGATTGTTTTTGAACCACAATGACATTTTTCAGATAATAATAATAATGTACATATTTGTACCAAGATGACGAGATTGCACCAGATTAAACATGTGAAGATCGTGACTGTCCAGACTTCAGGATGATTGGGCAAAGTGAACATAGTTACACTAATCCATTACTTTGTTTACTGTGATCACCTACATAATCCACAACATTTATAGGATTCATTTCTTCATGTTAAATGTTTCTAGATATCAAAACTACACAAAATATCATACTTAGCCTGCTTTGCAAGCAAGAAAATATGTCAAGTATTTGCTAAGGTAGGGTCTAATGGATTCACTTATTTCAGATAATAAAATACAAACTGATTGCTGAATATATTTTAAAAAAGTTACCATTTAAAAGAATTTTGGAAACTGGTAATATAGTTGTCTTTTTTTTTCTATTTCCCTAAAGTACAAGTGTTATAAACTGTACAACAAACCTCAACCAAATGATGCTATAATCTTTTCTTTTGAAACATTAACTATGAGATAAACCTGTTAGGACAGAAACCTATTACTAACACAACTATTCACTTACTTTTTAGTTGGCCCTTTCACAAAACACCAGTCTACTCTGATAGTGTGCCCGAGTATATCTGACCCATTCATTGCTTCAATTGCTGCATTAGCCTCTTTAAATGTTTCATATTCAACGAGAGCATATCCCTAAAAAGAGGATGTCAAAATCATGCTTAAAAAAAAAACCCTTAACCATAATCTACGAAGATAACGTTGTGACAACAAACAATTAATTTATTTTGCATGACAAACAAAATGTTCTTTAATTTTTTTAGAATCTTTAGAGTATATATGTCACTCATGCCGATATATTATTGATTAGGATACAAAAGTGTCAACTTAGTTTAATGATAAACTTACAAACAGGTTGGCCTTAATGTCACTCGCATTTAAAAAATAAATAAATAAAATCATGCACAAATGTATATTGGTTAGAAAACGTTAAATACTAGCTTGAGTACCCGTCCCCTGAATAGAAGTTATGTACATTCATGATTAATGAAAGGTTATCTTAGGACATGAAAAGTTGCTTCTCTTATACATAATTGTAAAAAATGCCCATAAAACTGCAAACCACAAAATGTGAAACCTCAAATTTGCACGTACCTCCACATGGACCTAATGAACCTTCATACCAATTTTGGTGAAGATCCACTCACACCCTGTGAAGAAGTTACATGGACATACAACTGACAGTACTATTATATTTATATAGATACATATAAAAATAAGGTTTAACACCACTAGATTTTGTTTTTAACAAATAAATTTGATGTCATATTTATGAGCAGGTGGTGATTTTAAGCATAGTTTTCTTTGTCAATTTGTAAGTGATCATCCAAGTTAACAGAACTAGTGACTAGAGTCGGCACACAAACACAAATGAATCAGCACACATTCTGTTTGTCGATATTTGTAATTCGATATACTTAACAGTTTGAAAATAATAAGGTTAAAGAAAGGTTGTTTCATGTAGTAGAAACAGGGTTATTAGTTAATACTTAGTAAGGTCACAAAGTTGTCACTTACTGAAATATTCTTTTCATGGTGGAACTAAAAGCTGGTTTGGTTAGTACTTTTTATAAATTTCATACTCTAGCAGATAGCAATTATTAAAGTTAAGCACGCTATACATTATATGTAATATGAAAGCTTAAATGGGAGAATAAAAGTAGTGCCAGTTTCAGTGCTACAGCATTTATACAACTGAATATACCATGCAAACAGCAAGAAATACTTAATATTTCTGAGAAAGCCTCACAAATAAAATTGATTTTAAAAGAAAAGATAAAAATATACACCTTCAGGAAGCCTGTGCGTCTGTCCAGGTTCAAGTGGAGATTCTTTATCTCTCCATATTCAACAAATTTATCATAAATGTCATCTTCTTGTGCTTCTTCATGAACTCCAGATATAAACAGAATCCAGCCTTCTACAGCTGAAAGAAAAAAATTGTTGACAAAATAAATAAGATACTTGTAGACGGTTCTAAGAATAATTCTTGCTAAACAGAACTCTTTACATAAATTATTGTAATAAATAAGGTACATGTAGACGGTTCTAAGAATAATTCTTGTTAAACAGAACTCTTTACATGAATTATTGTAATAAATAAGGTACTTGTAGACAGTTCTAAGAATAATTCTTCTTAAACAGATCTCTTTACATGAATTATTGTAGTAAATAAGGTACTTGTAGACAGTTCTAAGAATAATTCTTGTTAAACAGAACTCTTTACATGAATTATTGTAATAAATAAGGTACTTGTAGATGGTTCTAATAATGATTCTTGTTAAACATAACTCTTTACATGAATTATTGTAATAAATAAGGTACTTGTAGACGGTTCCAAGAATAATTCTTGTAAAGCAGTTTCATCTACTAAGTATCATCACTATATACAAAATGTAGTTTACTGTTATAAATTTACACTCAATCAATAATCAGATATTCCCATCACTTACTATTACATTGAACTTAACTACTACTCACTGTTACATGCTGTATATGTTATCATTATTTTTCCCATATTGACTAACTCTAGACAAAAAAAAAAAAATATTAATGAGAAATGATTGTTTAGTCTGTAATTCATAAATATCTTGTATAGTTATAACTAGAGTACATACGTTCAAACAGTTAATCACAGTACTCAAATTTTCAACACTTTTCTGAAGAAGTGTCACTGATAATCCCCTGATTTTTACCCTTCTCACTCAGAGGAAATACTTAACCAAATTGCATGAAACTTACTAAACAGTTTCTACTTGTGGATTAGAAAATTTCATATAATTTAATTTAATACTTTATAACTTTTTTTTAGGTTGTGAACTCTTCAGAATTTTATGTTAGATATTGTTTTAAATACCGTCTTTTTTTTATTTCATTTTCTGATAACCTATTGTAAGTACACGATAACAAATAAATAATTAAAAATACAGCGAGAAATGGTTTTCTCCAATTAAATCAAGTAAATACTCTTTGAAACATAGAGGACACCTAAGCTGTTTTGGAAAAATCATGGAAGGGGTTAAAAATATATTAAAAACACGGTCTTTTATCTAACAGTTCCAATATTTTTTACTGTTAATCAGAGATTTCTCATTTATATCTCCAGTCAGTTTCAGCTTTATTGATATTAATTAACAAATTCCTTTTGATAATTTGATTTAGTCGATTGCAATAGTTACTTACCGCTTACAGCCAATAAAAAACAGACAAAGACTTATCGGTGACCTCACCTTTCAAAATGGCATCACTATTACTTTTGTCCGGCTGGGTATTGTGATTTTTGATAATATTCTTGGTTGAGGTCAATTTAGATCTATTAAATATAGTTTATTTTTAGTAAATTAGTTTTTTATTCATGTGCTTTGTTTGAAATAATGAACTTAAATATTTAATAAGGATTTGAGTCATCAGAATATTTTGCCATTGTCTAATGTTCTCACAAAATCTATCTAAGCTCACCTGTTGTCTTTTCATAGAACAACATTTTTGTAGCTCCAATCAGACATAAGTTAAAATGACAAAATTTTCAGGAATAAAATGAATATTTAAAGAAACTGTAAAAAAATCTGCCAGATCTGTGGTTTGTTTTCTAAGTCTTCTAAATTTCCCATCAGATTCCTTCATTCACTCCTACAGGAGCTCTGGGTAGTCAATATTTAATAAGGATTTGAGTCATCAGAATATTTTGCCATTGTCTAATGTTCTCACAAAATCTATCTAAGCTCACCTGTTGTCTTTTCATAGAAGAACGTTTTTGTAGCTCCAAACAGACATAAGTTAAAATGACAAAATTTTCAGGAATAAAATGAATATTTAAAGAAACTGTAAAAAAATCTGCCAGATCTGTGGTTTGTTTTCTAAGTCTTCTAAATTTCCCATCAGATTCCTTCATTCACTCCTACAGGAGCTCTGGGTAGTCAATGTTTCGATAAACCATAAATTACTGTTAAAACAACTTAACGTACTGTACACTGATTCAGGTAGTTTCTAATATGCCCTATCAAACTGCATATAAATAGTGGTTATAGCTATTTTCAAAGTTGAGTTTCATTATTTTTTTGAACACATGCAAAGGGTTGCAATGAAGAGCTATAGTAATAAAACCACTAACAAAGAAGGAAAATCATGCAAGAAACAAGGCAAGGGACAATAAGTTTCCTAAGAAATATAAACCTATACTTTGGAATGGTCAAAAAAAATTCTTAAAAACTTGACACCAGTCATGATAGGGATAATCATCTTTTGAAACATGCACAAGTTACAACAAGACTTTACTGAACAAGTTTAACACTTTGACAGAGTAAGATTACTTCATGAACCTCAAATATATTACATATCACAGAAAGTGGAAATTGGAATCTCTTTCTTTTTTTCTCTCTCTCTCTATGGCCATCAATGTTAGTACATCAAATTAAAGCTTAATGGCTTAAATATACATTAAACTGCCAGAAAAGGAATTATGACTTATAGCAGCACTGTTAATCCTCAATAACTTTCTTCTTTTCCTACAGAAACAACTATAGGATGAATGTTTATTGTTGCCAGTGGTATACACAGATATTTTACTTACATCGCTGAGGTCCTGGTTCATCATTCTCATCTGTTTCCATTGCCTCGTACCCACGAATATCTTCTCTGACTGTTCCATCTATTAAATAAACAAGTGAAGTTTTAATTTAGATAAGACATTTCAAACAATTCTAGTTAAGGTGAGGAAAATACAAATTAATAATACCGTGTATAGTTTTGCAGCCAGTAACAGTTTTGTTTCTATGATTTAATCATATAAATAGTGTCTCCAACACTACTAGATCTGTTGTCTACCAGCCGGCCTGATGAGCAGTGGTATTGAGCAATAGGTCTCATCGGCACTGAATGTGGCAGCATGGTTGACATATTGTTATACATTATTCTTTACACTCAATCATAAGTTTTTAGAATTATGCACGAGAAATATTTTGAACTTAATTTGCAAATACTTATAAGATTATTTAATTTTGAGATTAACTCTACACTTTTTTACACTGAGTTTTCCTTTTAAAAAAATTTAAGTGTTAATAAGTGTTCAATCTGGATGGCCCAAAGACCCATTCCTTAAGTCTTGAATAAAACTCTAAAGTTACAAAAGTATTCTTAAAATTTCAAAACATTTATTAAACCTCAAATTTGACCAAGATACAACCTTAAGCTGCAATAGAAAGTAACAGCTGCCTACTAACTTTTGTTCAATTTGTCCATCACAAAATAGTTTAACTGGCAGTGAATTTAAAATTTTAGAAAATAAAAAACAATTTAACCTCATAAGTGTTTTTTTTTCCTTTTTTTATTGAAAATTTGAGGCATCGTTGAAACTATTTTGGAATCCCAATTAACATAACTGATTTTCTGGAAAAAACAGCTTTTAAAGAATTTGCAGAGATCTTTCAATAACATGACTGCACGCTCTTGTAACAAACACAACTTCAATCCTTCCACAGTTCTTTGAAGTTAAAAATATATTTCTTGCAAAATGAAACAGATGAGTTAAGCTCATTTTACAATAACCAGATCAATAACAACCAATCAAAATCTACACACCAACATGCCCATACATAGATAATGTACACAGATACTCTTTGTAAAAAATGTTTCTCCCATTACAAAACTGGATATAGAAATGTGCTATAATAATAAAAACCTGATACAAAGCCACGTCCTTTTCTTCGCTTAGCTCTTTCTTTCAACTTCTGCACACTTTCTGAAATACAACATGAGCTTATTAGTCACATGACAAGCATTTCAAAAAATATTAGAAACAACGATAAAAATATATTTGCACTACAAAGTAAGTATTGCTCTTATAATTAGGCTTACAACAATTGAATAGAAATAGAATTTTTTAACGATCTTAAACATTTATCCATTTCAAATTATTACAGCAGTAAACCATTACAAAGTGATGTAATTTTAGGACTACTGCCTTACACAAACCTTTTCTTGAATATATATATATGTGAACAATACTCTTAATAGTAAACCTGCATATTTCACCCTAACAACAAACTCCACATGTGATAGTAATATTATGTTCAATCAAAAGAAAAAGAAACTTGTTCCACAAACAAATGGTAAACGATAAATAGATGTTTTAACAAACATTTCAGGCACTATTATGTTAGCCTAAAATAGATGCACAAGCAACATTTGTGTATTGTAAACTTACAGACAAAAATAATTAATTTTTGTTTTGTTTATGTGAATCAATCTTGATAAAGCATTATTTCAAGAATAATAACATACATAATCAAAATAATGCTAGTATCCTTTACAAAAAAGTAAAACCTGCACACACGAAATGGGCTAATCTGCAATTACTTTTAGGTCTTGCATTTCAGATTTGGACATGAAACCATACTTTACAATCTAACAGGTCACTTGAAATTTATAAATGCAATGTTCACCCACCTACTTACCAAAAACTAATATTGGGCTGAACATGGCAAAACTAATATGACAATATTTTTTATCAAACATAAACCCTACAATCCTCATGTATTAATCATGGCTTTTTACAGTTAGTAGTAAATATCTTTGATTAAACATGAATAAGTAATTTCTTCATGCTGTAATTAATGTGACTTTTGTCTCCCATGGTCCTGTTTAATAGTTTATAGTGTCCAGCCAATGACTACACTGTTCATATTCTTTTATCGTGCACATTATAAGTATATTGAATATAAATCCAAATATAAGATGACTTGATTATTGAAAGTGAATTCCTCACTATCAAATGTGTTTTACTCTCTAGTAGTAACAGCCAAGTTATAGAAATTGGAACGGGTTGCTATTAGGAGTGGTGGAGACAAACATCTTAATACAAGTTACAGTAACAACTTTACAAATTACAAGATTAGCTTGACACATGGACGATTTCTTGAAATATAACAAGCGGGTTTAGTTTTTGTTTTTCTTATGGTATGGTGTTATTTATGGGTGTGTAGTTAAAATCTTTATTTGAGGATAAAATATTCCTTTGTTGTTCATATGTTAAGACTGGGTGTGAATTATTTTTTAATGCTACAGACAGTACTGTCACAAGTAGTAGTACTCAGTAGTATCAGGCCTAACATTCTTCACCGTTCAAGGCTTAGCAACAGTAAACAAAAAGTAAAACAACAGCAGTACTAGCTTAGTATTTACAGCTGAACACATGCGTTCATTATATATATATATATTATATTTCAGCACTTAAAACCATTTTAAGATAGTCAACTATAGTCAGCAACTAATTGATATTTAATACACTCACGATCTCCTTCTTCATCTATTTCAAACTCTTCTCCGCCACCATCTAGATCAAGAACATCCGCCATATTTTTTAAAAAAAGAATCGGGTATGCTTGTGATCACGTGGTGGTGCACTAATAACAAAAATATATTATGTAATTGTAAATTTACAAGTGTTGTTTTTGTTTTAATATAAAAGCGTAATTTGTGACAAATTTAACTGTTGTATATCTTAACTATTTGAAATAATATTTTACTTTCTCAGGAATCTAAATCTGAAGACTACAGTGGACTATTTTACTAGTATTACATCGTTCACTTATGATTAGAGCATGCTACGCAATATTAACTTAATAATAAATATTGTAACGGACTAGAACAAAATGCTGCTACAACCAGGGTCAAACAAAACAATTTATTAAAATATAACAGAAATCCAAAGTAAAGCTTTCAAACAACAAATTTTATCACTTACAAAAAATAGGTACTACTACTAAACCCGTGTCTGGTCAGTACTAGGTACAAACGTTAGTAAACAAACAAGACATCATAAAACTCAATGTCATTAATTTCAATAAATAAAGGAATTAGAAACCAGGAGGAGAAGTCCGAAAAAACCTTACACTGGTCTAAAATTAAACCACTTCTCCAGATCAATGACAACATCGAGTAATAATTCTAACTATACCTCGTGAATTAACTCGTTTGGCTATGGCTGTGACAGTTATTTTGGTGTAAAGTTAATATTTCAGAGAAAAACTATTAATCACCAAGGGTGTTCGAAGATTAGCAATCCTCCTTCACCCTGTACGAGGTTAAAGATTAAACGTTCGTAGAATGGTTATCATTCTAATTGCGCCAAGTGGGCGAAAAAAGAAAAGAAAAGAAGAAAAAACAATAAAAAAATGTATGTATGTATATTCGATGACGAGGAACCCACTTTGAGACTAATAATGGCTGGAGACGGCTTGAATGGGTAATGAAGAAAAACTTTTAATATAAGTTTAACATAACAGCAAATGTAAAACGTTTCGACAAGGTTTTGTCATCATCAGGCCGTCTCCAGCCATTATTATGTATATATATATACATACATACATACATGCACACATCATATTGAACTGGTGATAGTATTTAATTAAATGGGCGGAAGTGAAAGCGAAGGCGTAGCAGAAGCAGATTGTTCTTGCAGAAAAAACAAGTCGAAAACGATTGTTAACAATGTATTGAAACAAACCGAAGCAAACGGACCTTTACAGGGTCTGGTGGGGATCAGTGGACCCAAATGCCATGGCTGAGTTATATAGATCCAATGCCTAAGAATTTGGTGTGAGGAAACGGGATTAACTCATTTGAGATCAAGAAGGGGGTTATTATTTAGTGGTTAGACTGCGAGGTTACATCTCATGTGACTAGCTATTACCATAAATCCTCATAATATTTCACAACATTAATATCTGTATGTCACCGCTAGGGGAAGCTTGTGTCAGTTTCATAATAGAAACATACTCAAGAGGTTGAGAATTGCCCCAACCAGTGAGAAGAAGTAAAATGCCCTAATTGTCAAGGTCCTCACGCAGCAAGCTACAGATTCTGCCCTAAATATCAAGCCATTAAGAACAGATTAAACCATAACCTAGCACAAACTCCAACAACCCAACCTGCTTCACCAACACTGGCATTTAACCCAACTTACACACCTCCAAAACAACAAACTAAAAACGAATATCAGATCACTAAAAACCTCAGCTCCTGGCCATGACAGTATCCGTTATATTGATACTCAAAAACGCAACGAACAACCTATTACTCCATTTATTTAACATTATGAATTTAACATTTCTATCAGGATACTACCCAGACTCATGGAAAAAAGCCACCATCACAGTTATTCCTAAATCTACTTCAAATAATTTTAATCCAGACAATTTCAGACCAATCAACTTATTAAGCTGCTTGGGTAAATTACTTGAACGCATAATATCAAACAGACTACTCCTCTATTGTGAGAACAACAACCTTATACCAAACATCCAAAACTCTTACCGTAAAGACATTATAAGATTTTTCTATTGATATGAATATGAGGTGAATTTCTTAGTTTCATGTAGCTGGTTGTTGATTTATTGAATTCTCGATTTGAAAATTTCCTCTAGACTGTTACTTGTTGCACTGAGAGTAAATAAAACTATGGTTACCTCACCTGTTGTCTTTCATAGTTCAGATGGTACCTGTTTCTGATATGCCACACATATATCCATTGCCATATAATGATAAATCATTATTGAAGCAGGACATCATAAGAAAGATACATTTAACGTTTCTTATGCTTAAGAATACTATATTGTTCATTTAAAGTTTTGCGTACTCACAATCCCCGTTGGCTCAGATGCCCCCCCCCCCCACCGTGGCACAGCGGGATGTCTGGTTTCGATATTCGTGGTGGGCAGAGCACAGATAGCCCATTGTGTAGCTTTGTGCTTATTTATAACCAAACAAACAAACAAAAAGGCTCAGGTGCAAGACTTAGGGCTTTTTCACACCAAACATCTGGTTTCGATACCCACAGAGGGCAGAGCACAGATAGCCCATTGTGTAACTTTGTGACTAGCAAACAAACATAACCTTCTATTGTAGACAATCATCCTTTTAGTACGACCCGCGCAGACGTTTTTATCTTTATTTTGACACTTAACTGTTTGCTTGCCTAAACACTTGAAAGTGTGTACGCTTGTCACACATGACTTTCTATCATAATTATTTACGCAAGCTCCAGCTGAGTCGTAATTTTCACATCTGAGAGTGGACATGTCAGCCTGTTTTTAGACCTATTTCAGTTCTTAG